CACAACCACAAACACGCAACCACAAACACGCAACCACAAACACGCAACCACAAGCACACAACCACAAGCACACAACCACAAACACGCAACCACAAACACACAACCACAAAGACAACCACAAACACAACAACCACAAACACAAAACCACAACCACAAACACAACCACAACCACAAACACGCAACCACAAACACACAACCACAGACACACAGCCACAAACACATCCACAAACACAACCACAACCACAAACACACAACCACAACCACAACTACAAACACACAATCACAAAGACAACCACTTACAAACACAATCACAAACACACAACCACAAACACAACCACAAACACAACCACAAACACAACCACAAACACACAACCACAAGCACAACACACAACCACAGCACACAACCCGAGGACCCACAAGCAAAATCGAGAACTACAATACGCACGAGCATGGCAACATGCTCCTCACCATGGCTTCAAGAATTGAAATGCCATGGTGGGGACCACTCGAAGTAAAGTAATTGCTTCACATTTTTTGTTTCATTCACTTCACCTTATGTTCGTCTCATGCACTTCATGTCTATGACTGTTTGCACTTCACTTTTTTCATGAACAGCTGGGGAATGCATCATCCGTATTGGAACTTCATCTTCGTCTCATGAACTTCATGTTCATGACTGTTTGCACTTCTTTGGCATCCTCGATGTCTGCATCTTCAATTTCGCCCCATGAACTCAATATTCATGAACCATAAAGTTGGTTCCAAAGAAATGCTGAAACTTGTGCGGCAAGATGTTTGCTTCAACAAAAGGCACTGCAATTGCTGCGAGATATATTTATATTACTATAATCTGCAATGTCGAAAACACCGAACATGAAAAGCGTGTGACCGTGTGGACCTTCTTAGTAGATTTGAGACCTCCACAATTCTGCATTTTCCTTCGCAAAGGGCACATTTTCCTGAATCGAGGACCAATGCTGATGTCCAAAAACACAGGGGCCTGTAACGCTGTTGTCACCGTGTAATTCTTGTTCCCCACTTGCCAAGTGAGGGTGTTTGGATTTAATGAAAGAGTGCAACCCCGACCGCGTCCTCCACATCAGCCTCCTTCTGGATGTCACAGCAACTGCCAGCTGAAGCTGGGCACGCATGGACCTGGAACACAAACCATTCCAGATGGAAAGTCGGAGTACAAACGATATGCCAGTTAGAATGCCAGAAAAGATGTCACCGAGATGTCCATGTCAGAAGGTATGCCAGGTGTATTGCCCGAATAATAATGCCAGACAGAATGCCGGAAAGGATGCCAAAATATATGCTTGGAGAAAGTGAGAAGATATGCCAGAACGGATGTCCGAGTTTTTGCCAGCGAATCGGCTGGAAGATATGACACAAAGAATGCTAGAGAGGATGTCAGATGATAGACCAGTTGGCACACCCAAAAGAATATCAGAAAGGATGTCAGAAGATTTGCCAGTTGGAATGTCAGAGGATGTGCCAGATAGAATGCCGGAAAGGACGGGAGAAGATATGCCACAAAAGAATACAAAAGATGTAAGAAAATATGCCAGAAAGGATGTCAGAGGATATGCCAGGTAGAATGTCAGAAAAAATGCCGGAAGATTTGCCAGATAGAATGTCGAAAAGGATGTCGCAAGAAATGACAGTTGGAATGTCAGAAGATATGCCAGATTGCTGGTAGAAAGTGGGAAAGGATGTCGGAAGATATGCAGTTGACATGCCAGAACATTTGGCACGTAGAATTTCGGAAGGGTTGTCAGCAAATATGCCAGGAAGGGTGTCAGAATATCTGCCAGATAGAATAAGGATGTTAGATTTATTGCCAGAAGACTTACCGGAAGATATGCCAGATAGCTTGCCAGAAAAGATGTCAGTTTTGCCAGGTGGCAAGCCAGAAGATATGCCAGTTAGAATGTCTCTTCAAGCCCCATATAGAAGGCCAAATCAAAGCACATGTCGAAGGAAGTGGCGGGTTTGGTAGCAGAACAATTGTCGGAATGTGTGGCAGAATACATGTCAGAACACATACTGCGTCAGAACCAAAGCAGGACCAAATGTCACAACACATGCCAGAGCCCGTGTCAGGCTACACGCAGGACAAATGTCAGAATACATACCAAGAACACATTTCAGAACATACCCCAGCCGTTATGATAGATGATGTGCCAGGACACTCACCAGACTTGACGTCGGAACAAGTGTCAGAACATTGCCAATGGACACGTCTGTGTGGGATAGTCTATCAATACATGAATTCATGTGCGCTGCTCAGGGTGGGGATCATTGGGTTTCTAAACCTTTTTTTCTTCATGTTTTCACTTTCTACCTCCAGTATATGTGCCCTGCACTGCACCATGTGGCTAGGAAGGGTGCGATGGAACGCTGCAAGTCGGCGTGGTCATCGGAAACCATGCGCGATGAGGGTTTTTTCAATAGTAGGAACCAATGCTAAATGTGCAGACAAAAATCTGGCCATCGGTCTCTTGATTTGTCATTCCCTGCTTCCAAACATGGCAATCCACCCAGCTCTTCCAGTGACCTGTCGGTCAACCCGACCTCCACCACGTGCAAGTCGGTCTGAGGCCTCACTCCCGGCCGAAACCGGACTTGTGCGTGTTCGTCGCCAGGCGAAAATCGGGTCGCCATTTTGGGAACCACACGCTTCAAAGGGTGCAATGCCGACATTGGCGGTGCCATCTTCTCCCAAGGTGGCAGAGCTGTGGGCAGTCGGATGGACCTCAGGTTGGATAGAGGTCGGTGAAATATAACTGGGGGTAACTGCGGAGACATGTGTGGGTGTAGTTTGGAGCTACTGGGCACCACTTTGGAAGCTCTGGTGGAGATCCAGTCAGCACAACAAGAGCGTATCATTGTGTCATGTTTACTTCATTGTAATCTACCGTATATGTACTGATTCACATGAAGTTGCTGGATGTTGCTGGTGCATGGTCCGAAGTGCATGATGCAGAACAGCAAGTTCAATAAGTTCAACAGAGCGTTAGTTCAAACCAGTTTGTTGCAAGGATTTTCAGCTGTGCAGTCACTTCCTCCTTTTTGCCTTGTTCAGGGACAGTGCACTTGGGAAAGGCTCGGAACAGGGATGCATGACATGCTTGCAAGTCCGTGGAAATCGTAATGACCACGGTGAGCTGATGCATTTGTGGACCTTTACGTTTCAATGAACTTTCATACATGGCGCAAACAGTGTCATACAAAACAATTGAAATGCCATGGGCAAGATGGGAGTCGCAGATGAGAGCAAAACATGGTTGATTCATTGTTGTGTTACAGTCATGTATTACCCAAGGGAGGGAGGAGTGATAACGACATACAGAGACAGACGGGAGGAAGCCAGAGAAAGAGGGAGAGAGAGAGAGAGTGCTTGCGTGTGTGTCAAGGTTTTGTGCCCTGTGACTGTGGCCTCTCACACCATACATACTGCGGCCATCGACAGGAAAAGGATGGAAAAGGGTTCCAAAACTGCACTGCCGCTTGAATTGAAGTTCCACACAGAATCCCAATCCTGGTTTAACATGTAGATGAGTCTACTTTAGTCAACGCCATTGCGAACCCGCAAGAAAAATAAGCCGACAGGTCACAAGAGCAGGAGGAACAGCAGCTAGCACTGCAACTGCAACACCAGCTACTCACTTAGACGTGGCAAGACAAACGCACAATGGCTTTCTGAAGCGCAAAGAGAACAGTGGAGGACCCACGATTAAGAGGACCCACCGGCCCCACGGAGACGATGCCAAGCTGCCCAAGGCAAGTAGTTGTACTAAAGGAGACCGACTTAAAGCTTAGTGCCTCTACAGATGAAGAGAAAGAAAGACGGCTACAAGTGGCAAAGAGTTACACTATGTCCTTATCAGCACTGTACTCATGCAGCAGCTACAGCTACAGTGGCCAGAAGGAATTGTATTCGATAGTGCACTGGGCTTAAATGTACAGGCACTTGAGCCAGAGCTTCTACACAGCGGTGCAGCATTGGCTACTTGAGGACACTAGTCAAACCCTGATGAACAGCGGTGTGACAAAACTATACAAAACTTTCCTACAGGAATCCTCACATTCTAACTCTGTCCAGATTGCCATTGTTGTTGGTTAAACTGGTGCACAACAACATTTGCGAAGAGCGTTCGACAGATCACCGAAGCACAATACGAAGCGTTTGAGCGAGCACAAAGCTCAAAGTCGCTGCCTCGACTTGCGGCAAAGCACAATGGACCATGCAGCACATGAAAGGAGAAGGCTTCGACACAAAGAAAAGAGGCATGGCAAACGCTAGCGGCGGCTAGCGGCTACAGAAAAGGAAAAAGATCCATCAACTACAAGGGGAAAAGGAAGAACAACAAGAGTGACAGCGAAAGAGAAGGAAAGCCGAATGTAGGCAAAGGAACTGCAAGGTAAGGTAAAGGAGATGATGCTACAAGTGCGGCAGATTGGACACTACGCCAAAGATTGTCGTATCCAGATAGTCGACATAATATCAATCAAGCAGATGACTACACTCCTATTCAAAGAGATGACTGATGGAGCGGCTACTATGACAAAATATCACAACGTTTGCAGAGCCAGCCTAGGGATGAAACCCCAATACAGTTATCAACTATTTGCACGCAGGATTGGTATTTGTACATGTTTTAGCGCCCTCAAGAATACCAAATCCGAGCACTCTTGGGCTTCAGGGTTTGGTGCTGTTTGGTGATGTGAGAAGTGCGCACGCTTTGGGTTGACAGGCCTTTCAGTGGAGGGGGTAGATTAGAGAAGGAAGGGCGCCTGTTGAACAGCTACCCTGCAAGTGGTATACATGTTAGAAAACTGCAAGCATTTCTGAAGCGCAAATTTGTTTGATTACCTCATTATATATCAGTGTGTTTTTGCAGGCGATTAGTTCTAAAGGAATACTGTCAAGATATGTCAAGGTTATGTGGTTTTTGGTGTTTTGCCCCAATATATACATACTGTTTGTCAGGTCGACTTCTTTGATTCCTACGCCTCTGGTGTTTCTGGAGGCTCTGCATTCTTGTGCTTTAGTTTGTGGATATATAGAAAAGTAAAAGATCTTGTCAGACTTGGACTTGAAATGCCCTGGTTGAAATGCAGGCGCAAAAGTGGTGGGCTTGGCATGAATCTGATTTTGCGGGTCTGTATGACTACTGGAAACCCCTGCCTTCGCTCTGCAATCCCTCACATGCATTGGGTTAATCGAATACTCGAAAGATTTATATATATGGTTTGAGGTTGGGTAGCTCAACCGTCGGAAAGTGACTCTCGAAGTTCACGATCGCAAATGAAAAACCGCTCTCAAAAGCAGCCGCGGACTTTTCGCGGACTCGTGGCCATCAGGCTTCAAGGTGCGCATGCCCTCCCAGCTATCGGGAGGAATACAGGTGGTTCGAGCAACAAAGCGGCAAAGCTTCGGCTTCAGTGAACCTGTGCAGCAGCGAAAACATGTGATGGCATCACATTCACACCGGTCAAAGGTGGTGTGTCAAGTGGTTGCTGCTGCTTCGGCCTCCTGCTCTTCGTACAGGTCTTGGCCAAGGTCGTGGGCGCATACCCTGCAAGGTACGAGGGTGTGCGTCACATTCGCTGTGCGCTGGCTCGCACATTGCTGACTTGCATGCCAGCTACTTCCATAGTTGGTGTGGAAGATGTTGGCATTTATGGCAAATCTCAGGCGGTTGCGGGCTCTGACTCGGACTTCTTCTTTGTACCGAGTCCTCATAGTCTCTGCTTGCAGCTCGTAGTTCTCCCGTTGTCGACGGAAGTCCTTTTGGAAGCAGGTTTGTTGGTCTTGTAGTCGTTGTTCAGCCTGCTGGAGCTGTGCTTGTAGGTGAGTGTTCTGTGCCTCGAGTTGTTTTATCTGTCTCCTGAGGGAGATGAGTGTCTCTGGCTCGACATGTGTTGTCTGAGTGCTCTGGTCGTTCTGTTTGTTGTCGCTGCCAGTGTGTTCTTCTGGATGCGGCACATCCTCATCTGTTCTGGGGGGCTGCTGTGGCTTGTTTGCCACTCGGGTGCAGAGGTGCCATATCAGGTTGGCGAGCATCGCAACCATCAGGGTGAAACCTGTAAGGAAGATGAAGTTTTGGTTGTCCATCAGGTGGTCTTGGAAGTTGTCTGTGTGTTCAATGGAGTGCGCAGTGGTTGTGGTAGCTAGAGAGGCGATCATAGCCATTTGGGCCAATGGCTTGGTGAGCGCGTAGCGCATCTGGCTTTGCTTTCGGCTTTCCAAGGTCTTTTTCTTGGATGCTGTGAAGTTAGGATCCGGCTTCAGGCATGTTGTGTGGCTTCGTAGTCTTTGTGCTAGCAAGCCTGCTGCACTCTGTTTTGTCATGCCGTCTGCGAACTGTAGTTCGCTTGAGACCCAGGAGACGGTCGCTCCTGTGCAGGACAGTTTGTCCCGTGTCACTAGCACTTCGATGCTAGTCTGTTTGTCTGTTTGGGATGCTGTCTGTAGGTCTTGTTTGACCAGCAGGTCGTACAGAGCCTTGGCGTCGATGATGAGCCGTGGCGAGTGCTTCACCTTTGGTGTGTTGCTGTCTTCGAGGGCTAGATATGGTGACCATATCAGTTTCCAGAAGGTGGAAGCGTACAGCAGTGCATCTGCTGCTTCTGAGGCTGCCTGGCTTTCTGCTGCTAAGCTGGATCGGGCGATCCTTGGGAGTTTCCATGATCTCCAGTCGATCAGATGGTAGCCTCCTTCTGAGCCTGTTGTGACTGAGTGGTGTGTCATCATCACCAAGTGACCTCCTTGTGAAGTCAGGTCTGCTCTTGAAGCGAATGCAGCGTCGCTGTAGACGATGAATGTCATTTCTTCTGGCTTGCCCAGCTTTTGGAATCGTAGACCCACATCTGAGTATTGTTTGGCGTAACGTAGGCATTTGTTGGCTTCTCGAAGAGTCGAGATGTTGGCGCGACTCACTTGTCCAGCTAGCATGCTGGTCATGGCTTGGACATGAGGGCTGCTCTGAGTCGAGGGCCATTGGAGTGCTCCGACAATGCCTCGCAACATTGTGCGTTGCTTCTCTGTCACTGGTTGGTCGTTGGGTCCATCTTCAAAGCTAATGGGCTTCTGCTTTGCCATGTAGGCAGTGTGTTGTAGTTCGTAATGATGTTCATTGATCCTTTGGATCTTTGCCCCACAGTACTCTATGTCTGTGTTCTGTTCCCATGTCCGGAAGTTGAAGGTCTTCCGCAGGGATGCAATGAACTTTGCACAGTAGCTGTTGTCCATGTCGGCACATCCAAGGATGTCGTCCACGTGCAATCCGAAGATTCCGACCAGTGGTGGATGTTTCACTGTATTGCCGTTGTCATCGGTCTGGTGTGTCCAGGAATCTTCTCCTGCCTCATGATCGTGGATCAAGAAGAGGCATGGATCCAGTGGGTGGACTGTGGCTCCCAGGCGCGTGATGCGCTCTCGTGCTTCACTGTACCATGCTCGAGGAGCATCGCATAAGCCGTACATAGGTTTTTTGAGCTTCATGAAGGCGTTGTCGCCATCGGTACCAGTGAGGCCGAGGAGTCGTCTGGCGTCTGGTGGCAATTTGATCCATAGTGTGCGATGGCTAGGATGTTCCTTGCCTTGGAGGAATGCTGTGCTGACATCTGCGCTGAAGCTTGTCCAACCATTGTTGGCGCAGATTGAGAGGATGTAGTTTCGTCCCATCCGACTCAGCGTTGGAGCGTCAGTGCTGAGTTGGCCATTTAAAGCATCGGGATCTTTGAATCCTTGGGTGATGAGCCTTGCTTTTGCTCTGGGTTCACCGTTTGGCCATTTTGTCCACTTCAGGATGAAGTGTGCTTTGAGAATTCGGTCGCTAGGGACCGCGCCGTTGTCCTTGACCATTTCCCACACGTCGTTCTGGAAGAAACTTTCCAGTTCTTTCTTCTTTGCCTCCATGAAGGCGAGGCGATCAGCGAGTGTCATCCTTCGCTCATTGAGCTGATCCTTGCGGGCTTTGATGCCCGGCATGCTGTGGCCTGGTGGGCCTGTTTCTTCGGCTGTGTGTGCCTGTTCGGTGGTAGGCTCGACGTATGTCTGGTGGCCGTGGCTGACATTGTAGAAAGCTTCATGAGCAAGCAGGCGGTAGGCCGGCATGATTTTGAAGCTCGTCTGTCCTGTCCAGGCATGTTCTGTGGTTATGTTGCCCTTCTTCTTCCATCTGTCGTACTTGTTGAGGTTGGCTGAACCGGTTGTGTGTCGATCTTTGCTGATGTAGTGCAAAGGCAAAGGGCATCCAGCTGTTTCGTCGGCTGGGTCAAAGAGCTGGTTCCGTGGGATGTAGTGGCGACGTATCAGCTTGTTGTTCTGAATTGTCCATTCGTCCTTGCAGACGTCCAGGGTCAGGAATCCATTTTCTAACTTCCAGCCCGGTGGCAGTGTTGATTCATCGACTCTGTTGAGATCAGTGTCGTAGGTGCTGAGGGTGAGTGCCATATCTGGATCCGGTGGTGCCGGTTTGGCATATGGTGTCGGACCTCGTGTGGTGTTGTGACCTCTTGCTTGTGGTCCGTATCGGTCTTGTCCAGATGCGGTTGGCTGGAGAGACAGTGTCTCTTGTCGATCAAATCGCGTCCTCTGGTCGTGGAAGCTCTCTGTTGGCGCTGGCGGTGCATAAAGTTGCTGCTGATGTTCTGGAATTTGTCCACCATCATAGTGCACACTAGCCGTGGTGGCATGTGGTGTTGGCACACCGTGTGTGCTGGGTGGTGGTTCTGGTTCGCCGGTGCTGTCCTGTTCTGTGATCTCTGTAACGTTCAGATCAACTGTTGGTGCTCCTGGTGGTGCCCCTTGGCGTGATTGTTCATGAGCTGCTGTTGTGTTGATCTGTGGTTCGTCTCCAGGTGCATGTCCATCTCCATCCTCATCCATCGGTGTTGGAGTGGTAGTGGGAACATTCGGTGGACTGCTGCTGGAACCGCTATGTCGGTCTGTTCTCAGGACAAAGGTGGTGCTTCCTGTCCATTGGAATGGCATGGATCTGGTGGCATTTGGCAATGTCCAGTCATCTTGGAAGACTGTTCTGTTTCGGGCCGGTTGGTGTGGCCTCATGATGACGGTTCTCTGGAAGTTCTGCCACGGTGCTGTGTCGTCATTGTTTGGCGTGTAAAGTGCCTGTCTTGGACTTACATGGATGCGATGCCATGTGATACCATCTTCTTCGATGTCCCAGTAGTCCTGCTGGGCCGGTTGTGGATCTGGTGCCGTTGCTTCGGTGTCTGGTGCTTCTGGCATTTCTTCCTCATCATCAGTGACAATCTCTGTTCGTTTCCTCTTGTTGGACTTGATGAGGTCGGTGTACAGTGTGGTGCTTCTGCCTCGGATGTTGTCCAATGCTTGTCGTGCTCTCTGTAGTGGATCTGTGTCGCTCTGGTGGTTGAGGTCTGGTCGGAGATGTTCTCCGGAAACTCGTAGGAGTGTCGAGCCGTGTGTGATCCAATACGTGTTTGTTGCTGGGCCAGTTCGGCCTGGTTCTGTCATCACGACAGTTGCTGGACCCTTCCATCGGATCTTTGGGCCTGCTCCTCCAGGGGCATCTCTCCAGTAGTAGACCAGTTGTCCAGTGGAGTAGGTGTATTGTACTGCTTGATGCTGTCGGAGGAGTGCTCTGCGCAGTCGTGCATCGTTGTCTGCTTCGATCACTGAGATCGCTGCCTGTTTTTGCAGGTGTAGCTTTTGCTCCATGGCTTCTGAGGGCGTCAGCTGTGCTGTAGTGAGGTCGTGATCCATCAGGACACCGGGTATGCGTGGTTGCATGCCCATAGCCCATTGTGTCGGGCTGAAGCCTTGGACATTGGTGGTGTTGTTGATCTGTGGGATCACATAGCATAGTGCCTGTGTGATCCGCTCACGGGTACTCATGCGCTGATCGAAGTCTTGTCTCTCTTGTTGTGCTGCTGTGAAGAGTTCGATGCCTCGTCGTAGGACTTGATGTCTTCGCTCAAGCACGCTTAGCCGTGTGTGTGCTTGGCCTGGTGAGATCTCCAGTTGTACGCCGAGGTCGCTGGTCCATGTTCTTGTGGTGTCTGAGCTCCATCCTCTGTGGTCGTCGACTTGAAGGAGTGTTGGTGGACCAAAGTGTCTGATCCATCCTTGTTCAAGTCCTCGGATGAAGTCATCCGATTGTTCAGAGTCAATGACCCGAGCGGACATGAACTTGGTAGTGGCGTCGATCATGCTGAGGACTGGAACTGCTTGTGGCTTGTGGCCATTGCGTAGTCCCGGTAGGTGTATCCAGACTGTGTCTGCTTGTACTCTGCTGTTGAAACTGCCTCCTGTTCGGAGTGTGCTCTTGGCCACTTGTGGTGGTGGTCGGTGTGCATCACACAGTTGGCAGTGATGCTGTTGCGCAGCTGTCACAATCGAAGGACTGGCATTCTTGCTCTTGAGGAGCTTGGCCAGCTCGAGATTAGTGGGGTGCCCAAGGTTCCGGTGGATCCTCTGGACTGTTCTCTGGGCTGCTGACCATTGTGTCTCTTGCAATCTGGTGAGTATGCCTCGATTGTTGTCAGACTGTTCGTCGTTGTCATAGACTTGTGGCTGTTGTTCTGCCACTGCCTGTTGTGGCTGTAATGCTACTTGCTGTTCTGCCGGTTGTTCTGCATCATGTTCTGCCGGATATGCTTCTTCGGTGGGTGGCCAGTACTCAGTGAGCATGAAGGTGTTCATGATCTGGGCCCACTCTCTGCACATGTCTGTGTTGTAGCTGCCAGCTGCTGCGGCTCTGTTGCCAATGTGTGGGGAGCTACCCTCAATAGGGAGGTGGTAGTGATTGCTGTGGCAGACTCGCTCGAACATAGTAGCCAGGGTGCTGTCTGTGATGCGTAGGTTCGTTGGCTTCTTGATGTATTGTTCGTAGCCATTGGAGTCTGGCAAGGTTGCTCCGTATTGGCATTGGTCCACATGTGCATCATAGCCTTCTAGCTGTTGTAGAGTTGGTGTGTCCCAAGATGTTGCGTACTTGGGGTGTTCGAAGATGGAAATTCGCTTTTGCTTGTGTTGCTTGTTGTGGATTGTCTTGCTGAACCGCAAGTGGGTTCCTTCCTCATGCTGCTGCTGTGCTTCCAGTCGTTGCTGGTCGGCCGGTGTTTTGGCGTTCAGTCGCTGCAGTGGGGACCATTTGGTGCAAGGTGGTGCAATCCAAACAATCTCTGGGCTCTGGTGGTAGTACAAGTGGATGAACTGCCTCTGGTGGCTGGGTTTGGTAAAGTCCCATCCGCTGAGGATGTCGAAGGTGCGGACTTTGTATCCCAGTTCTTCCATGTGTGTTGCTAGCACTGCGTCACCAGCATAGACTTCCCAGAATTGCATCTGGTGGCTGTCATGTGCCGTGAGTGTTGTCTCGAGGGTGTGCTTGTAGTGTCGTGCCAGCTGCTGTTGATGTAGTCGGAAGCTGCGGACCAGTTTGTCCGTCAGAGTTCTGCGATAGCAGGTGTCATCATCATCTTCTGGGTCTGTGGTGTCGTTTGTGCCTTCCTCGTTGAAGTTGTCGTCCTCATTGGCCTGCATGCCGTGTTCTCCCAAGTCGGGAGGTGTTAGGCCTGTGAGCTCAATGTAGTGCTGGAGCGTGTAGTGCTCTGCTTGTGCAGGGTCTTGTGTCAGCAGGTTGTAGGTATCTTCCATCATGTAGTCAAACTCATAGCTGCTGTGGTCCGGTAGGTCGGTCAGACCTTGATCCAGCTGTAGGAGATGTTCTCCTCTGGAGCCGGTGATGATTGGTGACCATGGGCCTTCATCAACTCGCATGGTATCTTCCATGAAGTTGAGCTGGAGTTTCATGGCCTTGAGAATTGGCCTGCCGATCAGGAGAGCCTTGGATGCATACTGGCATGTGTACTGTCCATTGTGCTTCAAGGCTGTTGTCTCCGCCAAACTGAAGTGTCTTTTGTGCAGGACGGAAGTGAAAGCTGGAAACATCGAACCCTTGTTCGTGGTAGCTTTCGATGTAGTTCATGAGGATGTCATGGCCAAGGACCATGCAGCTTGCTCCACCATCCATGGTGCCGAAGATTCCCTTTGGGATGCGCTGGTAGTCCTTCATTTCGAACTGGACCATCATGGCGTTTTCGGCTTTTGCCTTTTTGGCGGAATTGGTGGGGCTGTTGGTGGTGCTTCTCTTTTGAGTGCACTGTGCTGCGAAGTGTCCAGGTTGACCACATCGTAGGCATGTCTTGGCTTGGTTCAAGGCTGTGCGGCCTCGACTCTTGGCATCACCTTTCTGTGGAGGTGACTTGGAGCCCTGCCCTTTTCCTTTTCCTTTTCCTCCCTTGGAGCGAGGAGGATATGGCCTTTGTGATGATGTTGGACTTGATGAAGTTGCGCCATCGGTCAATGCGACCACTGGATAGAAGCCTCTGTTGTTGCGCAGCTCAGCAAAGCGGCGTCTGGCATCCAGGTAGGTGGCATAGGCTTCCTCGTACTCAGGGTCTTCTTGATCCGGGTAGTCCTCATCGTAGCCGGTGTAGTTGGCTGTTTCATCGCCAAACTCTTCATCATATGCTTCATCAGCATACTCTTCTTGAGTTTCCTCATAGTAAGCCTCGTCATACTCAGGCTCATAGGTCTCTTCAGGGTCGTCCAGGTAGTCGTCCTCGTGCATGGCGTAGGCCTGAGCTGGTTTCTTCCATTTGTTGAAGCCTTTTCCTTTTCCCCCAACTGGTCGCTGGGAGAGTCCAACCTTTCCCCTGTAGTCCTGGCCGTACAGGTAGTACATGGCTTCTTCGACTTTGCTTTCTTCGAGGCTGGAGCCACATTGGCTTTGCACCAAGTGTTTCTGGTCTTGTGAAAGACCGCTTCTTCTCAGCATCAGCCAGCCTGTGATCTCGGTCGGCAATTTGATGCCGTGTTTTTCGACTTCTCGGAGCGCTTCTCGATGTTCAGCGCAATACGACATCAGTGTCTGGTCGTAGCGCCTGGTGAGGCTGTAGAAGAACTTCTCGAATGATCTGGGCTGTTCGACCCGTGCATCGTAGCGGAAGGTCTTGTCGAGGATTTCAATCACCTTGGTGAACCCTCCTTCTTTGTCTTCGCTTGCCGATTCAGCTATCGGCTCGACTTGCTTCCAGGCTGTTCCTGACAGGGTTGTCAGGAGGTTGATGACTCCTTCTTGTGGCTTCTTTTGCAGAACCATCTTCTTCTGGTAGAGGTGAATCCGAGCTCTCCATTCCTTGTAATCTTGAGGCCTGTTGCTGAAGGTCGGCGCCCAAGAATCTTTACTTGCATCCACACTCGAGGATGCTGCAGCAGTTGAACTTGCCATCGAGCTCGACCGGGAGGTGGTAGCTAGCAGCAAGCAAGCTGGAGCCCTGAGCCTTGCGGCTCCGCTACCAATTTGAGGTTGGGTAGCTCAACCGTCGGAAAGTGACTCTCGAAGTTCACGATCGCAAATGAAAAACCGCTCTCAAAAGCAGCCGCGGACTTTTCGCGGACTCGTGGCCATCAGGCTTCAAGGTGCGCATGCCCTCCCAGCTATCGGGAGGAATACAGGTGGTTCGAGCAACAAAGCGGCAAAGCTTCGGCTTCAGTGAACCTGTGCAGCAGCGAAAACATGTGATGGCATCACATTCACATATGGGTTATATGGGTTATATATAACTATATAATTCAGATGTGTTTTTGGATGGCCGGAGCAGTTTCAACATTATTTAATCTCGAAGGAACATGTGTTGGTTGTTTTCCAGTCGACACTAATCAAGTTGTCACTGTTGAAACTGTTTAAAGTAGCTAATTTATTTTTTGTGATTTGGGTGGGTCGAGACCAAACGCCGAGCCATGGTATATCCTGCCATTTCTCACGCCTGCACTTTTTGGCACCAAATCCAAACGAAGACGGTATTTCAGGCGCTGTCGTTTATGCCCTGGCCGTGTATTTTCACACCGACACCACCGTGAAGAACTGTAGGACGCCGAAAGGATCTGCCACTCAGCTCGGTTGGGACCGATGAAAGAACGGCAGTGGGTGACAGTAGTAGTGACAGTGACCACCAGGCAACTTGGTAACCAGGTTTTGTCTTCCACGTTGTTTTTGCAAAACTGATCTACAGAATTGAACGTGCTCCAAAGAGAGCTACGGACTTTAGTGTCACCATCTTGCTAGGCTGGAGACCATCGCTAGGAGGTTGGAGGCCATTCCTCTTAGGTTGGAGGTCATCGCTCTTAGGGTTGTCTCAGGTTGGAGGCCATGGCTCTTAGTGGAGGCCATCGCTCTTAGGGTGGAGGCCATCGCTAGTAGGTTGGATGCCATCGCTCTTAGGGTTTGTGTAACATGTAAAACCACACGTGGACACATTGAGTACTGAGTAAGGGGGATTCAGGTTTTGGTTCTGTCATTCTCTAAACCCACTTATTAGGGACCTAGGTTGCAACACGTAGCTGGAACATGGTCCTTCATTTTGCTAGGTTATTGTTTTATAATGAAAATAGGTTGTGCTTTTCATTTCATAAACACCTATTCCTCATAAAATGAAACACCCTGGGGGGGGACACTTTGAGTAAGCAATAATATATATATATATACTATATATATAATATATGTATATATAACTACATATATATATATATAAGAGAGTCGAGAGATATTTCCATCGCATCCCATTGCCCATCTACAAATTCAACGAGGGTTCTTTTTTGCAATCTACCCATGGTCTACCGTGAAGAAAGACATGTTTGACCAACTGAGAAGGAAATGTGCCAGGCGTTTATTTCTAGTGCTTCCGGGGCTTCAGGCAGTCCCGTATTTTCATCAAGCTTTGAGGTAGTTTGCCATAGTTTGCCTTTGAGGTGTTTTCTGCGAAGAAGATCTTGAGGATGAAGAACGCCACCTTCCAGGATTGCTCGTCACCACAAGCAGCTGCTGACCTCCTGATTGCTGATCACCTGGTCGTGTCCGGAGGCGTAGCGGGCGTGCGGATGCAGGGGCGGCGGGCGTGGCTGTGCAGGTGGCGCGGCGTAGCTCACGAAAGCCTTCCTCTTTTGTATATTCAAGCGGCACTCCCTTATTTGGGGATTATGTTTGCCGGAAATCCAGATCTGAAGTCTATTTGCGTAAGACATTGCAACATGCATGCGAAGAGGCCACTTGCATCAACTAACTCAACACACAGAGACCAGTGGTCTTCACTGACTTGAAGACGGACAAAGCGACAGGGAACAACAGAAAGAGTAAACGCAAGAACTGACCACACCTTTTGCTCCTAGATTCGATAGTTTTGTTCGCTTGTGGCAGCCTCTATCGGCCTTGCAAGATTGACTTCGACGTTGACAGTTGCGTACCACCGGTCAAGCGAGCATTGATGGGTTTATGTTGAAGACATGCCACCTGGTGGTTTGGCAACCCTTTGGGACACACCCCTGTGAAGACACCCAGCGCGGCGAATGGGTTGCATGGAAGGAAACATTGCCACAAGTTCTCGTTGTTCCCATATATCCGTCACGGAGTCATTGGTCAGGCAGATCTAGAATCCGAGGGATGTGTGTTTGGTTTTTTCTTATAGAATCTTATAGAATATGTATATATATATAACTATATATATATCATTTATAGATACATTTGTATATTTGTACAAAATAGCCGTGAATGATTCTTAATGGAGTTATATTTGCTTTAAGACAATATTTTATTGCGCTGCATTCTTTTGTTTGCTTGTGGGGCGCTTTGTTTGCCATTTCGCTTGTGTTTATTGTTTGCTTTTCGGCTCCTATGTTTGTTTGTCCTTGTGCTGTTGCTTTCTGCTTAAGCTTTCGTTTGTTTGCCTTTTGTTTTTGCCTCCTGCATTGTGTTGCTTGCTTCGCGTGTTTGCCAATCATAGGCAAGGAAGCAAGGAAGCAGGTATATAAGCAAGAGGAAGTAAACAAGAATGGAATCAACCAAGGAAGCAAGGAAGGTACAAGTAAACCCGACCTACTACTGGATCAGGAGTAATCAGCTTCTACCAAGCTAAGCCAATTTAGATTAGCCAAAGCAAAGTTCTAGTAAGCAAGCGCCCCAAATCTAAGCAAACCATGAACCGCGCTAAGGATGAGTGAGCTGAGCTAAGTGGGAGCAAACCGCACAAGGAAGCAAGAAAACTTATATAAGTGATACAAAGTAGAACAAAGAAAGCAGGCAAGGAAGCAAGCCAGCAAGCAACAAAAAGCAACCAAAGACGACTTACTGAATCAATTTTCACTTGCCCAGACCAACTATAGCCAAGTGGGAGCAACCCAGGCCAGCAGCCCAAGAGCATGCAGTGCTATAAATACCGGGAGAAGTTCAACGCTGCCCAAAGGACGCAGCCGCAGCAAACGTTAGCGCAAGTGGACGACATGCTGTTCAAAGTGCCGACAGTACGAGCGAAATGTGGACAAGGGGTGCCCAAAATGCTGTAAGTAGCACCACACATTGACGATATGATATTCAAGAGTGTTGCAATATCAGCGAGCCCTAGGAAATTCAGCACATAGCAGAGGACATGTGGTCTACAGTTCCGGACATACTGTCGACAGGTGACCACAGGGCACCAGAAAGGTTGTGTGCGTATGGCAATGGGAACTGACCTGATTTCCAAAGTATGTGAATACACCTTGATGGGTACACGTACGCTGGCAGTGTTCATCCCTCTTCCAGCAAAATTAAAGGCGATCTTGTTCTGCCCTGGTCAACCTTTACCCTCGCCAATAAACACTTGTGGTGGCTGCGTGTGTGTGATTTGAATTCTTGTTTTGCAAGCCTGTGGACAGGCAATGGGGCTGCCTTCCTTGCTCCGAACAGGCGCAACACTAGTTGCAAAGGGAGGATTTCAGGGCGTGTTAGTTGCTGTGATGTCCCTTTGATATGACTTCTTGTTGGTGTTCAACCAATGTGTTCTGTTGCCACGTCATTCTTTTTTGTGAATTGCTATACCGGCTATACCCTACTTTGTCCATCATTGTCCTCGTTGCGCCTTATTGGTTCAATGTGTGCATGTGTGTGCGTGTTTAATCATACATGGCTGGTTATCGCTATGGTTGGTCGCTCTGGCAATGCAATTGGTGGGAATCCTGCGGTAAATGTTTGGCAACACTGATTAGCACTGCCTGTGGCGGCATTGTGTCATCTCAATCTCTTTAAACAGAGTTCATGTTTTATCGTAGAACGCGAGTTCAAGGATCATGATGGAAGGTTTTTGCACAAACCACGCAGTTCATGCCTTGCAATGAATGGTTTCAACTATAAAAACACATACTTTCCAGTGAGGTGCTCGTTTTGGCCAGGACGGTGAAGTATTTGGAGTGCGACAACGGCCTTGAAGGCAGCGACTTGACCCTTCCCGATTGGTTTGGGAATCCCAGAGGAGGTGCTGGTGGAACTCACCACTTTGCCGGAGTGGTGGAATTTTAGGGTTCAGGTTCTGAGTTGTTCTCAGCCCTTTTTTTAGACCGCCCTTATACTAATGATTTGGTTCTTAGAATTTTAGGGATCCTAGTGCAGTGGTTCCGAGTTATTCTCAGTCCTGCCATGGCTGGTTTGTTTTTGTGCCGTGCAGGACATGTGGATACGTACGGAACAGCATGCCGCCAGTGCAGGACAAGGGTGGAGCGGGAGCAAAATGAACAAAATAGATGAAGAGTTGATAGCAGAGGTATCATACTTATCATGCCGTTCGTTTTGATCTGACGAAGACAGCTCCTTTGGAAAGAACTGCTTGTGAAGACGGCAGAACTTCGGAGACCCGGAGACGGTTCTTTAGTGTTTGACTGGGCCAGGGCGTCTTACAGCTTCTTGAACTCGGAAATATACGTCGTTGCGTTCACATTCACTGCGTCAAAGGACTGTACCTGGTTTCTCCAGGACTGGGCACTTCCAGTTGCAGGGAGGGCCCAAAATCTTCAACAACAGCGTCATTGAAGGCCACCCATGTGCCAAGGTGACTTGACAGGAATCGAAGAGGAGTCATCTGACCTAGCGCAACACCTCCCAAAAGTCCGTGGTCACGTGGTCACTACACTGAAGTCACTAAATGTTCCAAGAGACTTTTGTTTGTCGATGCAACTTGATGCAACTAGAGGCTGACGAGGAGCCTTGGCGGAGAACAAGACACTCTTGTTTCACCCTGCATCATAACATTGCTTTGTTGATTTTGCCTTTTGCACGGTCTTTCTTTTCGGAGACTGAGAGACGTCCAACGTCGCATCCCGAACCCTCTTTTCGACACCCCTCATAGTCCAACCTGTTCGAATGGGCTGAGCGAAGCACCGAGCGGTACCACATGTTTGCCTTCATCCCAGGTGCCATTGGCGACTGTGGATGTGACTGACGGTCGACTGACTTTGAGGCAAAGTCTGGTCGGTTTTGCTCTCAAATGTTGATGTCATGCTCAAATGAAATCTAACTTCAATGGCCTCCAATCTAATAGCAATGGCCTTCAACCTAGGGTCTAACAATGGCCTCCAACCTAAAGTGTGTTCATAAACTAGCTTTGTTTGGCGTCTAGATTGCATTCTTCCATTATTGGCGTGAGATAGCCTTAAGAGTAGTGAGTCATTGGGACATTGGCCTTTGGACATGGGAACCCTACTTTGGCGGATACTTCCTCGATTTCCATGTCCTGAACGAGTTTCAATCAACCTAGTTGGTGCATCGAAGCCCAGCACAGCCGATTCAAGGTAAAACTGGTTGTTAGCCTTCCCAATGGAGACGAGCCGGCATGCTATATCTAAAGTCATGGATCCTTTCGGGTTACGTCAGGACCAGGTCCAGGTGTTTGAACATCCACCTGATCTCACAAAAAGCTCCAGCATCCGCAGCGGAGGCACAAATGCCGTCGACTATGGTTTTGCACATCCATCCCACTGAGCCACTCCAATACTATACAAGCCTCTACCCCAACAGTTTCCTCAGATTTCATCAGCAACTGTTGTTCTCGTGCATGCCAAATACTGTTGTTTTCGTGATCGGTGCTTTGGCCGCCCCACCCTCCAAGCAACACAAGAAAGCATTGGAATGACAGTGAGAATCTAACCGAAAAGGAGGACAACCGCACGCAAAGACGAGACGACAAAGCATGGACAGGTGTGGACACAAGGTCTATTAGACTAAGACCCAGAAAACACACAACGAGAGCAACAGGAGAGGACAAGAAGGACAACAGAGACATGGACGTCCGACGCAAAACCAATGGTTGTGGAGGCGACTCCAGGTGCAGCCAGGCTCTGGACAGTCTTCCAAACCATGCCGGGTCGGATCAATGCAGGATGCCGCTGGTAACCAAGCCATGGACCTTTTTGTAGACCTTCAGAAACCCTAGTCCTTTATATAGTGGCAACATGTGGCAACTGGGTTCCACTAGGATGCTTTTTATTGCACAACAGCGTCGCGGCGGTTGGGTACCGCAAAAAGCGGGGGCCTTGCATGACGCCTTCCTTCCATCGTCAGTTGGCGCTATGGTGGAGCTATAAGACTGGTGCTGCGGCATATGTGATGCCTCCTCAGCCGTCAGCTGAGCAAGAAGCTCTTCCGTCCCTATCCAGAGCGGGGTCGGGCCTGAGGCCTCATTGTCGTCCCTAGCCACCCATGATTTCGTGACTCGACCAACATCGCTCAACCATGGATTTCGTCACTGTCCAGACGACCCGTGGCGTTCCCAAGCATGAGCGTCCGCGTCCATGACTCGTGCTGGACAGTGCTGGAGGTCAACAAGTGTAACAAGTGGACAGAGAAAAAGCCAGCAACTCAGCCGTTTCTGCCACGCAGACCCAGCCGTGGAGGAGACACCTTCGTTTCCGGTACCCTGAGCAAGTCGATCTGAGACTCAGCCCAGCTACACAAGGATTGAAAAGTAGGGCACGCAGCACCCCCGGACAAGATCCTGCCATTGGCCTCCACGGCAATGAATCAGGCTCCAAAACAGCGCCACTCTTGATTGACTAGTTTTTAACAGTGCATGGTGGCCATGCAACCATCGACATAGATGGGCCATTGGAGGAATGGCTCTTCAAGAGGCTGGAGACCAGTTGCATCGGCCGCGCTGTGGGGTCGAAGCCTCCCTTCTGTGAGCATCCACACCGAGATGCAGAGACAGAAGGACAAGTGCACGGGCAGGAGTCATCCGGGCAAGCTGTGAAAGGAGGGCACAACACGAGGGCAATCAGAGCACCACACACGCGAACACGGCAGCCACAGACGGCGGTGCGTCTTTCCTTTCGGAGGGACCGTGTTTTGGGCCTCAGGACGTGGACGTTTCAGGGAAAGGCCAGGAGCCCCTAGTAGCTTCTTGCTCCTAGTAGTAAGGCCAGGAGCCCCTGCAAGGCCAATCCGAGTCAAAGGGAAAGGGGGATATCCAAGGGCCTTTTCACGGTGTCATCATTTGCACACAAACTGGAGCAGGCTTTGCAAAGCTCATTACCCTTTCAATTGCGAATGCAAGAAGCCGATCATTTGTCGACTTGCCACTAACTGCCAGTCCCACATCCAGCTTAGAATAGCCTGAGACATGGAACACCAACTCAAGCCATGAAATGTCACAAAGTTGGTGAGGTTGTGGCTCCACTCCAAGGGATCTAAGTTAACCCCCACATCGATGTCCAGATTAAGGACTCATCCTGCCTCATCCTCAAGAGCATTGGAGGGTCTTTCTTACTGTGGAAAAACACCAAACCCATGATGCCTGGCACGGCCTCCCTTTTCTCTGGGAGGCCTGGCTGGATGGTGCACCCGCAGAACTTCTCGGCGAGCCTCCACTGCCCCAATGAGCTGCTCAGCCTCGGTAATGAACGGAGGGATGTGGCGAGCCGACCGGCCAAGGAGATAGCCGGAGTCAGATGCGTATGTCAAAGTAGCTCAGGGTCTGATTGGAATCTTTGACTTTGAACAATATCTTGTAATATATTGTATTATTTTGCTTTTGATGTGGCAGAACAAAGGATAGAGGCCGGCCGAGGATCTGGAGATCGAACATCGAACTTGATGTCACATGGATCTCTGCAACCCTAAATAAGGTGATTAGGATTGATTAGGATAGTCATGGCAGTTTCGTATACAGTAGCTCGGCTCTCCCAGGAACATATTCTGGATGGTCTGGATGTGGTTCTTCTTGTGGTTTCATGTTTCTTATTTTGGTCAACCTTTACACACTCCAGCAAATTGGCTACTAAACAGATCTTTGATGACCAGCTGTGGGTCTCATTTCATTTGGCCAGCAGTTCGGATCCTGTTGGGGACGGACATGTGGACACTGACGGCCATCCAAGAGGTTTTCTGTTGCATGAGGCGTAAAGAAAATGGACGCGACATCCTTTAGTCACCTTGTTTTGAAAGAAACTCATGGGCATATCACGTGTTCTCATCACAAGAGTAAGGTCGGGGGACAGATGCATTGTATACTGCACACTATTTTTTTTATTTAGTCAGTCCGTCAGTGAGTGAGTCAGTCAGTCAGTCAGTTAGTTAGTTAATTATTTATTTAGTTACTTAGTTAGTTAGTGAGTTAGTTAGTTAGTTAGCTAGCTATTAGTTAGCTAGTTAAAGAAGCCTCCTTTGATGTGCACTTGCCCTCACTTGCCACTTATTCAAGCATGACTGTCCTAGGTTGGTTGTGAGCAGGTTGTTGAAGATTGTCAAGCAAGACCGCTGTCATAACCTTCCAAGGAGGGCGTGCCCTGGTGGTAACATCACCCAAACCGGTTTCGAAGGCATGTGCGAAGTTGGCTACGAAGGCTGGAGACCTTTTGCCCATCTCTACCATGTCAAGGGTAATTGCACTCTTAACAACAGTTCAGCTTGTGTGGACCTTTAACCTTTAACTTAGTCCACTGTCGCTACGGTCAATATTAATATGACATGCAATTGCTTGGTAGTTGCATGACCATCAGCCGCTGTTTTCGCAACAAGTGCCCCGGGTCGTGGCAAGGTCCTGGCTGCGTCAGTTGTGTTTCGACCACCCATGGCCGCGAATCCGGCGATCCCTTCAATCCTGGGTCGGAGAAAGTCTTGCTGTGGACCGAGTTGGGGCATTTCAGACATTGCTGAGATAAATCCAGTGACTGTTTGCAAGAACATGAAAAAGAGGTGAGCATAGGTGAACAGAAGGCTTTGAGGTTTGAAGCATAGGTGAACAGAGGTCAGAGGTGTCGTAGGAAGTTCATCGAAGTTCCACCAACCGTGGCAAAAAGACCAGTGACTGGAACAGGGTTCGTTGCACGTTTTTGAGCTGAGCACTGCTTGAACCTTGTAGACAAAGGTCCTTTGGACAACCTTGAACGGCAACCTATGAGACTCCTACACTTCTTCTCTTTCTTGCACTGGATAATCTCACAGCGAATATCAGGGCTGTCCACCAAGCTTGTTCGCTCCACCTTCCCCCCACACACACACATTGGCGGTCACTAATGGAAGCAGTAGAATAGGACATTTCCCACAGAATCTGGAGCATTGGAAATACGAGGATATGGTTACACATCACAAGCCACACTATGTGCACATCATGTGGGTAGGCATTCGACCTGCAAATGACCCCTGGACTGGCCTCATTCTTTGTGCGGCCGCCTCCAAGACTTGTGCGAAGTGTGCTACCTCAACCCTTGGGAAATCCTTTGAATGGTGCGCCTACCTGTTGCAGCATTCCATCGTCTTCGCGGTGTCCGCATCAGGCGATTTCCATGGCGTTTTGCTTCGCCTCGGTTCCATGCTGTCAAGTCAAAGAGTGTCACGGTTCCAGGGTGTGAAGTAAGACTAGGTTGTTTTTCATTTGCAGGAAGCTAAGCATAACGCTTTTGCCACTTGTCCTCAGAGGGCTAAGAGCAACTGTAACAGTACGGAAAGTGTTCAACAGGAGGGGGCTTTGCGCAAACTAGTAGCAATCTGGATCTCCCGCGGTCCATGAGAGGTGTCATTGCGAGCACTGACCAGAGCTATAAGAGCACCATCCACTCAAACCAATTGATGGCCTACGTGATGGTAGCACTTCCCGTTCCAAGCTCAGCTTGCGCAGACAGTGCGTCCGAGATCGTTCCAAAACTCATGCAGGTTAGTCATTGATCTTGTGAATGACTTGATACAATGAAACCCAATGACTTGAGAATGCAATGGCCGATGAAAGCCGTTGGACATGCTTGGACCTGAACACCGATGACCTCCACGTGACGGTACGACCGCGCGATGGAGCAGACGACTAAAAGGGACTTCTTCATGACTCAACTTTGAGACATCTGTGTGTGTGTGGTTTTGGGTTGCTCATTCATACCAGGGTTGCTAATGCATGCGTACTTGAGCAATCTTCAGCAGAGATCTGTTTTCAGGATGCACGAGATAGATAGTAACCGTAGGGTGGTCTAGGAAAAGTCAGCCATAGCTTGGCCCAGGCTTTGCTGAAGAGCAAACAACATTTAAACTTTAAACAATCAACAACATAGACATAGAGTAAAGCATGCTTATAGCATTCTAATTTATACGATGATAATGTGCTTCTTACATGATTTGAACCACAGCCTTGGGTGCCAGACCCACAGATGATGGTGCCAGAGGTCTTGAACCAAGTGAGCAACTCGCAGAGCTTCAAAGTTCTGGCGTACTTCGGTCAGGCCGCTTCCAACCGCACGACGCCTCGAATCGGGGAGTTTGGCCTGGAAAGATTGCCTTTTGCAAAGGCAGATCAGGTTGGAAGGCAGGAGTTCAATGTAGTTCATTCGCCCAAGAAGCAGTTTTTCTCCCTAAATATTCAGCACTCACCAAGAAGCAGTGTTTGCACATGGGCTTGGCGTCTTGTTGGATCCTGGAGGGTTCTTTTTGAAGGATTCAAGTTTGACCGCAGACCTTCAGCACGTAGCACTTTGTGTTACCTCGCTGGCACCCGGATCCACCGAATCCAGCACATGTGCCTCGCTTCAAAGGTTCTAGGTACGGTTCTAGCCTCCTCACAGTTGTTCTCGCTTTAAATGGTTTTTCTTTCACTTCGGCTCTTGTTTCGGATCCGAAACAGCGAGGAAGTCATCGAAGCCTTGAAGATCCCCGTGGACGTGGCCAATGGCGCGGGCGGTCACTAGGAGGAACGTCATGAGGGCGGCAGCGTGCTTTTTGGTCAACAAGAAAAACAGAGATGAAAAAAGGAGGGGCCCCTAGAAAAAGGCTGTTTGAAGGGGCCCTGGTCACTTGTTTGTTCATCCATTTGTTCTTTTGGAAGCTTTGTTGGATCCTCAGTCCCCTTTTCGTTCTTCTTCGGAACAAGACCCATTTGTGTGGTTTCCTGTCACGTCGACCAGCGGTCAGAGCCAGCTCATGTTGACAATCTGAACCAATGTCCATCCAAGTCCATCCATTTGTTGGAGCTTCCGGATGCAGAACCTTTTAAGGCCGATCAGGATTGCTGACAAACACAGAACTTACAGAACCATCCAAGGACTCCTGTTGGAAGGATAGGCCAGGGGCATCCAGGGGCCGTGAATTTGCTTGCGATTCATTCTGGACCACTCAACTACAAAGCTGGCTTCCCCTCCAAATCGGGCGAAAAACAGCTGTGATCTCCGCCTCCACCCTGAAAGGTCCATCTTCAGGTTCCATGTTAATCTTCCTGGGTACGAGAAACCAGTGCATCTTTGCTCCGGCTTCCGCTTCCACCTCTTCCACCCTTCGCGTTTCCGCGCTCGGACTCGGCCCGAGGCGATGGTCTCTCGTCTCAATGCCTGCTGGGCACCTCGGAGGTGAGTACGGTGGACGTGGTTCCGCTCAACGCGAAAGCATCGAACACCGCAAATATTCAAGCTAGAATCTGGAGGAGACGGCCAAGGGGGGAAGGACTTGGGCGTGGGAGTGAGGGTGGATGGTTTTGGTCTCATGTCTCGCTGGATTTGGGGAACCTTTTTTGCGTGCGCCGCATATTGCCACATGCAGCGCTGGTTCCAAAAACGTAGTTTGTGAGTTGCAGAATGTTGGTACAGAGCTTTCTGATTGATGTGTGACTTGAAATGTCCAAGAGACATTCAGCGAGCAACTGGGCAAGCGATGCCTTCCCAAGTGCCACTTGTTCATGAGCCAAGATTACATCGGGATTTCCAAGACGCTCTATGGTGGTGATATACTATTTCTGATTTTGGCGCTATCGTTGATGCTCTTGCTCTCCTTGTGCCAAGGCTGCAGTATAAAGATTTACAAGCAAAGGAGTCAGGGCTAAATATATGGCATTGGGACCACTATACAACAGCAACACCAGAAGCCAACGCAGCAGAAACCACAATAAATATTGGGATTTCCATTTCTCAGACGAACGACGCCGAAGCAGAGTTTTAAACGCAGTTTTTGGTCCTTCACCGCGATTCGAGGCTGGTGGATGTTTGGTCAGCAGTGGTGGTGGCGTGCAACTGCTACCTCCCACGTCTTTGCTTCGCCTTCGGAAGGTGTGGTCACAACGGGACCCATGTGGAGCCGTTTGACCGTTATGTGTGCGGATTTGGCGCTTGTTGTCAATGGTATGAACACGTGTGAAAGGTGGACATGTTCATGGCAGTTTCTCAATGTATCTCGAGGTAATGTTGGGTCTTAAGTAGTGAAACCCGTCCCCCTATAATAGCAAACAATCAATAGAATTCCCGCCACAAAAACCCTTATATATAGTAGTATTCGTAGAAGTAGAAGTAGTAGAGTTCAGTAGGGATTTGAAAGGGCAGCAATAGCAGAACTATAATAAAGTTAGTTCTATTTTCCCTTAGGGCTCCAAGTTTTTTTGTTAATCCCACCCTTTAAACTCCTAAACAATTGGTATTATTAACTTCCTTTGTGCTTGTGTACTACCCCCTTGAACATTTGTTTGGAGAAAGGAAATCGTTCAGTTTAAATAAGCGTGTTTGAAAACGATTTCCAGGTCAGAATTCCATGAATCAAGCGAGCCTCGTAGTCTCTGGCGCGCTCCCCCAAAGGCATTGGGTCGGCGGATATAAGTAAGGATTTGAAGGGGCAGCAATAGAATAACAATGAATAACAATTACAAGTTGTTTTTCCCCCTTAGGGCTCCAAGTTTGCTTATTAATCCCACCCTTTAAACTCCTAAACAATTGATATTATTCACTTCCTTTGTGCTTGTGTACTACCCCCTGGTTTGGAGCAATGAAATCGTTGAGTTTTAATAAGCGTGTTTGAAAACGATTTCCAGGTCAGAATTTTATGAATCAAGCAAACCTCAGGAGAGGTAAGTAAGGACTTTAAAGGGGGAGCAATAGCAGAACAATATAAAAGTAAACAAAATCAAAAAGACACCCTGGGTGAAGAAACATTTATTATTTCCTCCCACTAAACTATTCAGGGTGTTGGAATAATTTGGCGAGAACTTTTTGTTATTCCCTCCCATTTGACTAATTAGGATCCGACATTACAAGGTTTGGGTTGGAGTTTTTTCAACCGCTGAAAGTATTCACTTTGTACTCCTGAAGAAAAGATGTAGAGAATCAGGGCAAATAGGGACATGTAGTGCTGGTCGTTATCCAAAGGAAGTATGCTGGAACAAGAGGAATTCGGTCCTGGTGGACCAGCCTAGCCGCATCTCAATCTTGGTGTCTCATGCACCGGTGGACCCCAATTGAGACAGCACACCCACTGATTTGCAGAGGAACAAGATGGAACAAGTACCAACTGTACCAACGAACATGAAATGTTCAAGTCTTTCTTTGTCCAGTCTTTTTACTCGTGCCGAGGCTTTGCGACTGATTCGATCTGTTTGTTTTAGGAAGGCCGACACAAAAGACTTTTTGGGACAGTCCAGGATTGCCCGAGCAGCGTGTCGAAGCTTTGGCCAGAAGCAACATGAAACAACACAGTTGGGAATGCCCCGGATTTGGTACCACTAGGGTGTGCCTCATCACCTGTAACATTCTGCAAAAGACTATATTACTGCATGTATCATTATATATCACACTTTTTGAGAAAGGTCTTTAAGAACCATCATCATCTACTGAAACCTGGGAATATACCTAAGGCACCACGACAAAGATACTGGAACCTTGGTGATTGACAAACTGCACGGCAGAATTCTTACCCAATGCCGC